GGCAACATCCCGGTTATAGCTCCAAGCAGGGCTACAGCTGCACAACGGGGTCCTATGCAGCGAAAGAGCACTTCGTCTGACCACCGAAACGAGCTAGGACAACTACCCTGGTACATCGGTGAGAATCTAGACACACTGACGACGTTGTGACGGAGGTGGAGGAGCGAGCTGCGGCCGATGATAGGAGCGTTATAGAGACTGGGAGCCTCCAGCATTGGGGCGAGATTCAGAGAAGCGGGCGGGACCTTGTGCTGGTGGAGAACAACCACTGCCGCAGCGCACTGTGGAGTCCTGGACAGCAAAGACGGTTACGGTAGAATGAGGACCTTCTTTTCGGTGACTGGGTGACGATAGTTCCGCTGAGATCGAAAAGTCCAGATATGAAATTCTAGATTCCTTTTTCCCTTTTTTCTCAATTTTCAGAATGATTTTTCAGATCTTTCTATGATGTGGATGAATTTTTTATAGTTTGGGAGGAATCTTACTTGATTATGTTCAATTCTCTGAATAAAAGCACCAATGTTGGTCCAATATTTATCCAAAAATAGACGCTCGTAGGCTTTTCGGAAAAGTTATGATTAAACACTCTAAAAGGAAATAGTAAGTATGGAAATGGAAAGTTGCTAAGAAGTTTGGTTGCCAGAAATAACATCTCCTTCATTTACATTTGGAATTAAACTTGCCTTTTATAGGCGCTTACAAATTGTAACTATTGTTAATAATAATAGCTAATTAATTACAACATTAATATGAAATTAAATATATAATAAAACAGCGCATTAATTGCTTGTCTGTTACTCTTCCGGTGGGCAGGTTTAACGCTTTTGCTCCAAGCTTGGTCTTGGACTCACGAGTCCCATAACCCCATCACGAGTCCCATAACCCCAAACACACCTTAAGCGATTTCAGACTTTAAGCATTATTATACTATATACTCCCTCCATTTTTAATTAATTGTCCATGTAGGCTTGGGCACGAGTTTTACGAGAAAAATACTAGGAGTATTATAGAGCGTGTAAGGTAAATAATAAAGTACGAAAGAGAGTATATTAGAAAAAGTAAAGTGATGATAAAGTAGGAAAGAGAGTATATTAAAAAGAGTAAAGTGATGATAAAGTAAGAAAAAGAAAGTAGTATGTAAAAATAAAAGGGGTAAAAGTAATAAAAATGTAAGTATTTATCTCAAAAACTTTCCTAACATGAAAAGGACAAATATTAAAAAAACAGATCAAAATGGAATAAGAGACGATTATTAAAGAATGGAGGGAATATGACAATGATATATGTACACAAATAAAATTTGATACTCCCTCCGTCCCTAATAACTTTTCCAAGTTTGACCGGCACGTGGATTAATAAAGTAAAAACTGTGTGGTTGAGTTTTGTGCAGATGAGAGAGAATTAATTGGAACCACAAATTCTTTACTTAAAAGTGAAAATGGCAAAGTTAGTGGGACATCCAAAAAAAAAGTTGGCAAAGTTATAAGGGACGGAGGGAGTATATATAATGAGATAAGGTGGGGGTTGAGTGGGGGCAGCTGCCCCCGTTCCCCCATGCTAGATGCTCCCCTGTTTATAGGCGTTTACAAATAGTTACTTTTATACACAATAGATGACTATTTTTTACTCCAGGGGGGTCTGAGGGAGGGGGGCTGGGGGGCCTTGAGTAATTAGGGCTTAAACTCACTCCATTGAGTTTCAACCCCTTGTGTTGCCTAGCGGGATTCGAACTCGAGACCTTCCACTAATTAAGCACGGTAACCTCACAACCAGTTGGGCTGGAATGCTTGATTATGACATAATTAAAACGGCGCATTAATTGTTTGACCGTTACTTTCCTCGCTGGTAGGCTTGACGCTTGAGCCCTCTCTTTACCGGGCTGGTAGGGAGGCTTTAGGCTTCGGCTTGGATTCAAGGAATCACGAGTCCAAGTTCATGGTTTGGTCAATTAGGCTCTGGACTTATTCTGATAAACCCATCAAAGTGTGTAATTATGGTTGCAGAGTAAAGTAGAAGAAAGCTAATTATGCAAGCCATCCTTAAACAAAAAACATGAAGAAAAAAATTGAGACATTCATACCAAAAAAGTTATGGGAAGGAAGGAGCATAATATTATTGATGCCATAATAGATTTTATGATTTCGATTATAAAATCTTCTACCACCGTCACTAGTCACTATTGCCAAGCCTGGCTGACGCTTGACTGCAGTAGAATAAGGAAAATCCGTAGAGTGCAAAGTGGTGGAAGAATTGGATCAAGTGACCAAGGTTCGAAACCCGCAACGGTCGTGTGGAGGTTACAGAACCTGAAATAAGGCTGGATCTCTGGTGCGCACGTGTATAAGTCCTATCGCCGCTTTGCTGACTGAGTCACCGTGATTGACCTCCCCACCATCCTGTTGGGTCGGGGTGGGGGGGCTCGATCCTGGGGTGGGAGATTCCACCTTTTGGACCAAGGAAAATCAGTAGAATAAAGTTTCGTTTTGGATTGTACATATTACATGAAAGAATTAAAAAATATATTTGACTTCCTTATGTACATCCTTTATAGAAGAGTAACTTTTACGGAAGAGTACATTATTTTGACATTTTTTACACTATTTTGTTATTATAACGAAATAATGGCCTAAATATAACTACTAGACTTTCAGTATACAAAAATATGACTGGTTTTCATTGTGACATAAAGTGTCAATAAATAATTGGGCCGCCCGTCCGTTTAGCTTCTCCTAGGCGCTGCTTCTCTCTCCTTCAAGGTCGATCGACACCGCATCCTCAACTGCACGCTGAACTCGTTGCCGCCGACCTCACCGGCCACCATCTTCAACCTCATCTCTGACCACCATAGCAGTCGTCGGTGCCCCACTTGTCGCCCTCTCCTATTCCACGCCGGATTTGCTACTTCTTCTCTTTCTGTCCGGTGGAGAGGCGGATGAGGGTCCAACAAGCTTCGCCGCCATCGATGTCGTTCACGCTTGATGCCATAAGCTTCTGCCGCCCAACCTACGCCGCCACTCGCAGTCCCCATCTCCATCGCCTAAAACCAACTCCTCTAATTTCCTTTTTCTTTTTTCTGGTTTCTCGCTAAAAACCCTCCTATGTTTCGCCATTGTGCTATTGAAAGGCTTCACAAAGGATAAAATTGATTTTATGATTCGAAAACGAGATTAATTTTGCACTTCGATTCGAATATCCACCGGCAGATCGGCAATATGGCTTCTGTGTCTCGATCGGAAGTGATGTGAACTATTATCCCTCCATTCTCTTTACCAAACATTTAACTTATAGTGGGTTAAGTTTTTTTATTGCAACTACACGATTGACTTTGCAGCTAACATTGATTGGTGGAGGCTTAGGCGGGAGATGGTCGTCGGTGGAGGTTTTGATTTTGCTGCTATGACAAATGATGGAGGGCTGGAGAGGGGGCAGGGCAGGGGAGGAGGCTATCGCTGGGGGTGTGGGGTCTGTGCAAGGCAGCATGGGCTGGGGAAGGGCTAGGAAGGGGATGGCCGGGAAGGTGGGGGTGGGTGGGGGGGGGGGCTTGGGGACTGGCGGTTGAGGTCCGGTGGATGAAAAATTTATGTCACTGTGACCGGGATGTTGCCGACGTAATTGTAGTTGGTGTCACTATGGCCGGTGACAATATGGTGTCACTATGGCCAGTGTCACACGGGCGGTGGCTACAGTGACACGGGCGGTGGTTACAGTGACACATGCGGTGGTTGTAGTGACATGGGCGGTGACTACAGTGACATGAGCGGTGGCTACAGTGACACATGCGGTGGTTGTAATGACATGGGTGGTGGTTGTAGTTACAAAAAAACGAACACGCAGTGACATAAAATTTTTGGAGTTACATCATGTGTTTTAATTGCACATATATGACCTTCTTGATCACTTTTTTGCCCTTATTTAAAAGTGGTCACTTTTTGGGTAATTGGTTCAAAATTAGTAATATCCAAGTAAAAACCCATATTATAACTCAAAGAAATGTAGAGTAAATTGATAAAAAAATTGGAAGATTGATAAATTTATTTATCAAATAGGGAAATAGAGTTTTATTTAGGGAACATTCACAAAAGTAAAACCGGCAATTTATTTAGGAAGGAGATGTTATTTAAAAAGTAACTCGTGATAGATAATTCCAAAATGTTTCACCATATACACTATTGGAATTGACACTACCAAAGTACCAAACAATCCACCGAAAATTGGTGCCGTCAAATAAAAAATGTATGACGAATTAATCCATATATATATATTGTTTTCAGTATATGTATTAAATTAAATCAGATTCGTATAAAATAATAACTCACTGCATATACCCTAAATTAAGGAAAAATAATTAAAATACCCCAAACTTTGAAAGAGTGTAAGGTAAACACTCTAAACTTGCATATGTAATTTAAATACCTCAAAATTTATATAAAAAATTATTTTAACACCGTGATGTTGTATTATTTTTTTTCAAAATGTTAATAATTGATGTTAATTTCATAATTTAAAACATTTTAGCATTCATAAAGATACAAAAACAATCTAAACTTTCAATGTAAAATAAATAGTATTGATGGAGTAATAGGACTAGGCCCAGAGCCTAATCAACCTAAGCCCCGAACTTGGACTCGTGGATCCAAGTCCACAACCTGAAGTCTGTCAGCTCAGCGGAGAGTCTGCCAGTCCGGCCGACATCCCAACCCGGAAGAGTAACGGTCAAACAATTAATGCGCTATTAATTATGTATTTAATTCCATATTAATGTTATAATTAATTAGTCATTATTATCGATAGCGGTTACGATTTTTATACGCCTATAAAAGGTGGGTTGTAATTCAGATTAGAGAGGGCAATTTCTACATGCTATTTCTGACAACTAAATACTTTTAGCTTCTTCCCTTATTTGCATTATTTTCCTGATTTCCTGTTTGAGTGTCGTACGTAGCTTTCCTAAAAGCCTACGAGCGTCCTATTTTGGACCAACATTGATGCTTTCATTGAGAGCCTCTATTGTCTCTGACATAACTCGAGACAAAATTAGTATGAAAATCAGACAAAATTAGTATGAAAATCCAGAAAAAGAAGAAATCCAAAAATGTGGAATTTTATAGGGTGGAGGCTTTTTGGGCCAGACCCGATCGATCAACCGGAGCGGTGATAGCATGCAAGTCGCTGCTCGAAGCTTCTGGTCGGAACAGTGTCGCCCCGCGATTCTACACCTATTCGTCGATGCGGCCTGAAGGGTCTACCGATTGGAACTCTATCAATTCCGCCATTAATGTCGCCCTGAAGCTTTTGGGGAAACAATCGATGACACCACCACGAGGACGGAGGACCCCTGTCAAACCCGAGGCTGACACATCAACCCAACGGCTGACGGAGAAGTACGAGCTTTGGTGCCGGCTCCGCCATCTCCCATACGGAGGCGCCCAGTGCACTCCCGCTCGCTCCACCACTGCGTCAGTCGGCGCCGCAACTCCACGACCAGAAAGGAGATGACGCTTCAAGCTAAGCTAAGTTGGGTCCCTCACCGACAGAAACCTTAAGGCTCGGGGTTTGTGGTGTCTGTGGCCGTGGTCGTAGCCGCTGGGAGTATCTCTGGCTGAAGGCATTGTCCGGTCGCACCCTTTCTTCTCTATGGTTCTGTCTAAAGGGACATCTGCATGATAGGTCAAATTGGGCGTTGCTTTTGGTCCATGGAGAGTGCATCTAAGTAAGCTTAACTTCTGGACCATCATAAGGAAGATCTTCAACGAGAAAATCCTAGGTGCTAATCAAGACAAAAACAGTGGGCCAGCCCACCGGTGATCCAATCCAATTTTTCAGCGGGCCAGAATTTAACAACAATTTTTCTGCCATTCAAAAGCTAAGTGATTCAATACAGCCTCTACTAAATGAATACGGAGTATATGTGAATATATATGATTAAAAAAATCATAAATAAAAACATTTGAAAAGATATTTTAAGTGGTTTAATTGTTTTTACTCTTGTTAAGCGTGTGTAATGCTAACATTGAAAACGGACTTATATAATCCGACCACTCGCGTACACCGGGCGAGCACACACACTCGTACACTGGCTGAGCACACACACTCGCGCCACCGGGTCACGTCATATGGGTGTGGCGATTAATAAGCTTCAATATAAATGTTAATATCGCACACTCTTGACTTCATACGAGCTCTTGTGTGCTCTTACCCTTTCCTAGTGCATCACACTCCGACCTCGGGGGACGAGTCACCCGTTCAAAAGTTTTTACTTGCGGGTTCAAACTACTAACCTCGGGCGGCGAGTTAAACTCTTGTTAGGGACCTAGTGCCACGCTCTTCCGAGCAATTTTGTCACTTAATTGACATTCACATTTCCCGAAAAGGTTGATATACTTTAGTTCTTTGGGGTTGGATTATCTGTTCGGGTGGGGAGTCCAACTCACTTACTCGCGGATTCAATCTTTCGTTTGGAGACTGGGTTGAGGCCTAAGTTGGGAACTTGATGTCACTCTTTTCAAGTAGTGAGTTCGACTCACTTACACACTGAGCCGTAGTTCGACATTAGGCCAGATTCTCTATTCTACACTAGTTTCTTTTATGTGTAGGTACAACTGAATGAAGTGGGGAATTGAGGATCTTACCGTCTTCAAGGAAGCAAATGACGAACCTGACGAGTCTGGGCCCGACGAGAAGAACAGTTCTAGTCATCCTATTCGCAGATGGCGGCCATTGCAATAAAGGCTGAGGATCTCACCTCTTGCTTCATCTTGGGGGCGTCAAATGTACTCTTTTTCCCTTCATTAAGTTTTTTTCCCATTGGAGTTTTTCCTAATGAAGGTTTTTAATGAGGCATCTCCCCAACATGGACAAGGGCGGGAATCTTCTAGTCTCGGAAAAGAGCAACTGACTTGGACTACTCCCTCTTATCCGAGTCTACTACTCGACTAAGGTAGTGGGGGACTCGTGATGGAGTAATAGGACTAGGCCCAGAGCCTAATCAGCCCAAGCCCCGAACTTGGACTCGTGGATCCAAGTCCACAACCTGGAGCCTATCAGCTCGGTGGGGAGCCTGCCAGTCCGGCCGACATCCCAACCCGGAAGAGTAACGACAAACAATTAATGCGCTATTAATTATGTACTTAATTTCGTATTAATGTTGTAATTAATTAGTCATTATTATCGATAGCGGTTACGATTTGTATACGCAAATAAAAGGTGAGTTGTAATTCGGATTAGAGAGGGCAATTTCTACATGCTATTTCTGGCAACTAAATACTTTTAGCTTATTTCCTTATTTGCATTATTTTCCTGATTTCCTGCTTGAGTGTCGTACGTAGCTTTTCTAAAAGCCTACGAGCGTCCTATTTTGGACCAACAAGTATCTCCCCTAAACTCTATAAAATTGCAATGTTTTCAATTTACTCTTTTAAATTATGCAATTAACATCATAAATTTTTGAAATGATACATGACAATGGTGTTACAATAACTTTTTATATAAAGTTTGGGGTATTTAAATTACATATAAAAGTTTGGGATGTTTATCTCACACCCCTTCAAAGTTCGGGGTATTTTAATTATTTCCCCCCTAAATTATTGTAGAGTAATGCTATAGGTACCCCATTTTGGGGTACCCCATTCTTACCTCGGCCTAATGTGTGATCATAAATTGGGCAACACATTAGACCGGGGTATGGATGGGGTACCCCATTTTTGGGTACCTTTAGCATTCCTCATTATTGTATGATGATGGAACGCTATCTATTACTCCCTCCATCCCGGATAGATCGAACTTGACGTTTGCTTTTGACACGGTATTGTAGGAGCTCAATTAATAGAAGAACAAATGTCTTGCATTCCTTTGACTTTTGGGGATAAATGCTTTCCACTCAAATGTAAAAAGTGGGTGGGTAGTGAAGGGTAGTTAGGATATTTAATATAAAAGGAATTGCCTAAAAATGAAACGTAAAGAAGTAAATGAGACGTCCCAAAAGAAGTTGCCTAGAAAGACATAAAGATAAATGAATGACGGGTAAACTATCAAATAAGCCCTCATACTATATCGAAAAAGTCGATTAGTCCCTCGTACTTTACAAACACTCAATTAAGTCCTCGAACTATTAAAAAACGTTCAATTAAGCCCTTTTGGTCGGTAAGTAACCAATTTCCCGGTTAAATGTTACCCGTTTCCCGGCAGCCGCCGTTGCTGGGGTTCGAGAACATCGTCGTCGTCGTCGCCGTTTAACCGGGAAACCGGTTACTTACCGACCAATGAGGCTTAATTGAACGTTTTTTAATAGTTCAGGAACTTAATTGCGTGTTTGTAAAGTACGAGGGCCTAATCGACTTTTTCGGTATAGTACAGGGGCTTATTTGACAGTTTTCCCATGAATGACATTTGATTCTCCTTCTTTCAACAGTTTTGTTTATTTTTGGTAAGTTTTTCTCAATAATGTAAATCACAATGTCTACATCTAGATGATTTTCTTGACATTGTGAAGAAAAACTTACCAAAAGCATATATAAAATCATTCAAATAAGGAGAAAGATAATTTATTCACTAATATTTATTTGACTATCTCTAATGGGACATGTGCACCGTTCACATTATAATATTGGGGAAGTCCAAAAACAGCACGTCGGTGGCATATGGTGTCCTTAGCCTCAATAATGTAGATGGTGCATTGATCTGTTTCGAGGGAGGCAAAATGATTACTTAACAACCAATTATATATTTAAAAGGTGCTTGTTATCCAGATCGTGGAAACCGCATTACAGTCCCACAACCGATACGTAAAGATAATCTCATCATATGAACTTGCAAATCGATTGAATACAATCTTTAATTATCAATTAAGTTCAATTCTTGTGCCTTAATACCTAATTGAGAGGAACTTTATTATAACCCTAAATGATCCTTCTCATATACTACCTCTGTTCTCTTTTAATTGCAATATTGAACTTTTTGCACTATTCACATATTCTATTTTGACTATATTTTATTTATTAATGTATTAAAAATTAAATTTATAAAAAATATTGTTAAATTCTTTTTATTCTAAATTTTCCAAATCTGAATTTTTAAAATTTTTTACTAATAAGGAATTAAAACATTGCAAACGTGAAATGTGGACTGTTCATTTCAATAAAAGAAGAAGTACTACCTATTATGATTTGATCTAAATAAAATAATAGAGTTATCATTTCAATTATGATTGTTTCTGGCACCAGATCAATTCGGACTAGATGACATAAGACCATCAATAATTGACACAGGTAAAAAGGACTATTTTTTTTATACTTCCTCCGATTCTTATTTAAGTTCTTAGTTTGACTTCACACATATTAAGAAAATGAATTTAACTTTACTGTGGAGTGCACTGTTTGGCACTGTTTGGACACTGTTTGACACTGTTTGACATTGTTTTGCACTGTTTTGTTTCCTAAAATGGAAGTGTGAACTTAAATAAGGAACATCCCAAAAAGGAAAGTGGGATCTTTAATAAGAACCGGAGGGAGTAAATTTAATTCTGATCCAATATGGTATGGTTCAATTTTGAATCGGGGTTATACAGGTTTGATCTTTGATCTACGGAGTAATAATTTTGAGAACTTTGATACTCATCAAACCATTTCTGGTCTGATCTAGTGGTCTTGATTCTCTTGAACCAGCACTCACTCTCAAGTAGGAGTAATATCTAAAGTGTACATCAGATAAATCATAGATCCCCAAGTCTTTCCTAAATATTTTTGTCTTGCGTTTCCTCGACAAACCATAATTTGAACCTTAATTAAATTGATAATACTTGTTAGGTATTTGCCTCAATTATTTTTGTGATTTGGAAAGACTTAATTAGGAGGAACTTGTTATAAACTATACATATTTTGGCCGTTTTTATGTATTATTTTCGTGTAATATGATGGGGTTGAAGGGCTTAAAAATGATCAAGTAAATATGAATGCTGAAATAAATCTGCAATTTGTTGATTACAAGTTCTAAATTTGTAATCCATAAACTTTTGTAAACTAGTGCTTAAGAGAATGTTGGGTTGAATTAATTAGATTCACTAAAATTCTATTTAAAGAATACATCCTATTTTAATCTTCGTAAGGTCGGAGCTTTTTTTTCTTCTTTTCTTGAAGTTTCCCTATGTTCGAAATTAACTACTTCGTATATTTCACCTTATGGGTGTCATAGCCTATTCTATCGTGTTCCCCATTGTCGAATTTGGATGATATATGGATTGATAATACGTCGTGCATTTAATTTTTTATTGAACAAATTAAATGCTTGCTCTCAATTAAATGAAACCTAAACATGTGAATCGCGCAATTTTTTCATGGACGAGTGTCAATTTTGTTATTTGTCTTCTCTTAAGGTCAACACAACAAAGCAAGGTCAATGGTGATCGTTATTGAAGTACTAGTATATAAGTGTATTGATATTTTTATCTAATTTTGCAGCTGGGTCCGTTCGGTTTTGCAGGAAGCTGGCATAAACATTTAGGAAGATACGCCGGTAGAGGAATTGTAGAAGTTGAAACGAATTGCAGAGAGGAAGAATAGCGGAAGAAGATTGATTATACGAAGAAGAAGAAAAGTTAATCGTCTATTACAGGTTAAAGATGCCTATTTATACTAAAGGGCTAATAGGCTATAATAGGCTAAAAATATAATCAGTCCAGTACAGTTTAGTAGCCCAATAAGAATAGGCTCAAATAATTATTCTTGAGACGCCCCCTCAAGATGAGCATGAATGTCCAACATGTTCATCTTGTCTGCAAACTGCTTGAAGAGAGGATTTCCAAGTGGTTTTGTGTAGATATCTGCAAGTTGATAAATATTAGGTATATGAGTAAGATTTATGAGTCCAGAATTAATCTTTTCCCCTATTAAATGACAATCCAGTTCTATGTGTTTAGTTCTTTGATGTTGTACTGGATTATATGCTAAATAATATGTAGATTTGTTATCAGTATATAATGTAATAGGTAAGGAATTCTGAATATGTAATTCCTGAAGAATATAAACAAGCCATTGTGCTTCACAAACTGCATTTGATGCAACCCTGTATTCTGCTTTAGTAGATGATCTACTGATAACAGATTGTTTCTTGGATTTCCAAGAAACTAAAGAATCACCAAGATTGTAACACCGTCCCCAAATGTATTTATCTTTAAGCTAATAATTTATTGAACCCTGTGAAATATTTGGTGAATTTACGAAGTTGTGAATTTGTATTAATTTTTCCGCGTGAATAGTAAAATGCACGTGGGGCCCACATCGGGAGTGGGGACCGCCCGATATTATCGGGGCCACATATTATATTGATCTTGGACTAGATAATATGTATATGGTGGTGGATATCCTAGTTGAGCCATGACAATGGCATAGGGTTGACCGGTTGGTCAAACGGGGCCAAATTATCAGTATCGGCAATCTATCAGATAACAGCCCGAAAAGGGATTTCGGAGACTTCTAAATTAAAGTTGAGGGATGCATATTGATTCTAAGGTCCATTAAGAATTGGGAACAAGTGTTATATTTTATTTGACCCGATAAAATAAAATATACTTAAAACAGTCCGAAAAATACAACTTTCGGGGCAAATTGCACACTTTGGGACAAACTGGGATGACCTCCCACATGGGTGGGGGCCACCCCACGAAATTGTCAACCCTTGAGTGCTGGATGAGTGCCAAATTGGCTGAACAACAATTGAGAGGATGGGGGAGACACCTTTGACATGTAGTAGGCCCCCTTCCTTCACTCATTGTCTAAAGGAGACAAGAAGGAACCACCCCTACCTCCTTACACTCATCATTTCGACCCAAATACACCAAGAAGGAGAGAAGAGCTCTGCAAACTTCATCTCCATAGCCCAAATCCGAACTCAAGCTAAAGGGAGTCCAAGAAGAAAGTTTAAGGAGGAAAAAGTGTGAAAATTAAGGTAATGACCTTATCATAACTTTTCCTTTGTTTTTCTTCTAGCATATAAGGTATATATCATATAAAAGACCTTTAGTATTGTTCTACATGATTTAAGTGTGGAATGATGGGTTGGAAAGTGATTCTAAGTCCAAAAACGGACTTAGAAGCCAAATCGACCGGTTTGCCGGAAAATAACCTTTTAAAGGTTATTTGTGTTGATATGGGTTTTGTGATGATAAAACCTTGTTAGGAACTTGATTTAAAGTATTTTTGAGCTTCGCCGGAGTTTCGTCGGAGTTGGTCAAAGTTCGCCAGAGTTGGTCAAAGTTCGCCGGAGTTGGTCAAAGTCCAATCGAGAGACGTAGAACGCGCTTAAGCTTAATTAAGGTGAGGATGACCGACTATGATACTTATAATCTTTGGGTTAATTTCATGGGATTTCCTAAGTGAATATAAATGTGATGTGCATGAATTGTTGATGGTTAATAATGTATAAATAGAACTACTATTGATTAAAAGTATAGTATGCATGATACACAAATTTATGAATAAATTGTGTATGTTTAGATGTTATGAATATGTGTGTATGATGGTTGTACCAACCATGAATATCATTTGGGATAGTATACTTTGATGCCATGAGGAGAAGCCATGAAGGTATGAAAGTGATATTTGATATTAAGGCCAATTATGCAAGAAGAAGGAATTATATTGAAATAAATAAATAACTAGCATTGAAATATTAGTTGGAGATGTTAGTTGAGAAATGGATGAATTAGATCCTAAGAATTTGAATTATAAGGAATCGGTGATTATGAGCCGGGCTCAAGACCGATGTAGATGACGGTGATTATGAGCTGGGCTCTAGACCGTAGTAGATGACGGTGATTATGAGCTGGGCTCTAGACCGTAGTAGATGACGGTGATTACGAGCTGGGCTCTAGACCGTAGTAGATGACGGTGATTATGAGTTGGGCTCTAGACCGTAGTAGATGACGGTGATTATGAGCTGGGCTCTGGACCGTAGTAGATAACGGTGATTATGAGTTGGGCTCTAGACCGTGATAAATAATGATGAATTGATATTAAATGAACGGATTAACTATAATGTAATAATGCCCTAGTTGAGGGCCTCAGAGATTTAAACTTTGATTATACTTAGTATAGTTGTCATTGTACTTGTCAAATGCTTCCAAGTACTGACCTCCCCTTCACGGGGGAGGCCACCTCACAGTTTCAGGTAGAACTTGAAGGTTGCTACCACCAGCCGCTGCTTCGAGAAGTTTCTGAGGAGAAGACTTGGTTCGTGCTTCTCCCGTTCTTGTTTTGAAAAACAATACGAATAATGCTCATGGATAATATTTTCTGAATAATTACTTTGGGGGCTTGCACGCCTAATTATGCCAAGTGTGGCTTGAACACTTGTATCAATTGTTTCCACTGCTTTAATAAATGTTTTACATTATGTTTGTTTATGGATGTACTGTGTGTGAATGGTATTCAAGACGCCTTGTATAGGATGGATGAGTCGGACTGCGGTTGACTATTCGTACTGTACGGCGGGTTGTTGACGTGTCCGGGTAGGTCCGGGCGTGACAATTTAAATGGTATCAGGGCCTTAGGTCCGGGTTGTTGACGTTTTCAAAATTTCTTTTTGAAAATGAATTTGAAAAACCATGAGCATAAGTTTTGTACTTATAGAACTTTTGGTACTTGAGTTGCAATGCCTCTAATTGTTAAGATGGTACCCTTAACAATTGGTATGGCGGTGATTTGAGCCGAATGATGTCTTTAAGTACCCGTCCGTCATTTGACACTCGATACGAGTCTAACGACTCATTCTAATTTCTTTCAGAAATGGAACCAATTGGAAGGATCACTAGGAGGAACCCGTTGGGCCGTGCACCGGGTGGGTCCGAGCGCGGTAGCCGGGGGTCCTCTAGGGGATCAAGAGGAAGGGGCCGTGGAGGCCAACGTCAAACCGTGAGCGATGGCCACGTTGATACCGAGAGTGAGACCTATTGGTCCTATGAGGACTCAACTTACCAGCCGGGGACTGAGCCAGTTGAGACCCCTTACGAAGAGAATGATGTCGATGTGAGTGATGAGGAGGAAAGTGGCTCCTTGGCCAGAATCGAAGAGCTGCTCCAACAGTATCATCGGGAGCGCGAAGAAAGGAGGGCACGCCGAAGGCACCGTGCAGGGCAACCTTCGGGCGGGGCTCCAAGAGGGAGGAGCTTTTGTGATTCGAGAACCCATGTGGAAGCGCATGGGAGTCGGGGCGATGGAGGTCCAGTCATAAGGATCTCCAAATACATCAAGGAGGCGAGGGACTTAGGGTGCAAACCGTTCGACGGGACGGGAGACATCTTGGTTGCCGCCCAGTGGATCAAGAGGCTGAACGAGGCAGCCCTTGACATGCAGCTCACCCCCGATTTTAAACTGAGAATCGCGGTAAGGTTACTCGAAAGGTTGGCATCCAAATGGTGGGATGGAACCAAGGGTAAGTATGGCGGAACTGTTACATGGGAGGATTTTCGACAAGAATTCTTTGCCCAGTACTACTCTGACTTCGAAGTAAACGCCAAGGTGAGGGAATACACTCTCCTAAACCAAGGCGGTAACATGACGGTGAAAGAACTTGAGAACAAGTTCAGAGACCTTGCTGATCACATACCGGAGTATACTTGTGATGAAAACCGAATGGTGAATCATTTTTTGGAGGCCTTGGACTTGGAGATACGTGACAGGGCAACTCAATTGCCCAATATGACTTTCAGCCAAGTGGTTGCCCAAGGGTTGAAGGGAGAAAAGCAATGGGAGGAGAGGAAGAAGAGAGATGCCGAAGAGGCCAAGAAAAGGAAGTGGGAAAGCCATGGCCCCCAAGGTCCCAATAAGAAGGGGAACCACGGGGGAGGTGGATCGTTCAGGGCACCGGCAGCACCATCCAAGGGAAACCCGGCCACGAGCGGGCACTACTCGGGCTCACAAGCCCCAATGACGCCAAGGTGCAGGAATTGCAACAGGAACCACACCGGTAAGTGTCGTGATCCACCACGGTGCTACCAATGTGGGAGTACAGGGCATATTAAGCCAAACTGCCCTCAACTTGGTGGGAACCGGGGGTCGGGACCAAGCGGCGCTACCACGGCAAGTAGGAACCGGGCCGGAGCACCTCATGCCAGTGTGGGCCAGGGGGGAGCGAGCACGAGCAATGGCGGAGGAAGCGGGGGTCGGGACCAAGCGGCGCTACCACGGCAAGTAGAACTTGAAGGTTGCTACTACCAGCCGCTGCTTCGGGAAGTTTCTGAGGAGAAGACTTGGTTCGTGCTTCTCCCGTTCTTGTTTTGAAAATAATATGAATAATGCTCATGGATAATATTTTCTGAATAATTACTTTGGGGGCTTGCACGCCTAATTATGCCAAGTGTGGCTTGAACACTTGTATCAATTGTTTCCACTGCTTTAATAAATGTTTTACATTATGTTTGTTTATGGATGTACTGTGTGTGAATGGTATTCAAGACGCCTTGTATAGTATGGATGAGTCGGACTGCGGTTGACTATTCGTACCGTACGGCGGGTTGTTGACGTGTCCGGGTAGGTCCGGGGCGTGACAAAGATAAAAACAATAACCAGAAATACTTCTCCTAGTAGCAACACAGGATCCCCAATCAGAATCAGTATATGCTTGAATATTGAAAGAAGATTTGGAGGAATAAAAAAATCCTTTACCTGGAGAGCTTTTAAGATATCTAAGGACTCTGTGAGTTGCAGCCATATGAATGTCAGTAGGAGAAGATAAAAACTGACTAAGTGTTTGGACAGAATAAGATATATCGGGTCTGGTTACAGTAAGATATAACAATCTTCCAATTAAAGTTCTATAGGTTTTAGGATTGCTTCTAAGAGTGCCATCATTTTTTGAGAGTTTAATTTTTGAATCCATAGGTGTAGAAAAAGGTTTGGATGAAAGATATCCAAAATCAGAAAGAATTTCAAGAGTATATTTTCTCTGATTTAAAACAATACCAGTTTTTGATCTAGCAATTTCTATTCCCAAAATATATTTCAATTCACCAAGATCTTTAATAGTAAATTTATGATGCAGAAAAGATTTAACAGCATTAATTTCATTTATATCATTTCCAGCAAGAATAAGATCATCCACATAAAGTAATATTGCAGTAAAAGATGTTTTACTAACTTTAGTGAAAAGAGAAAAATCTGCCTGAGATTGATTATAACCAAAAGATTTTAAAGATTCAGAAAGTTTAAAATACCATTGTCTAGATGCTTGTTTTAAACCATATAAGCTTTTAAGAAGTTTACAAACTCTAGTATCATTAGTTTCTAAATAACCAGGAGGGGGTTGCATATAAATGTTTTCATTCAAATCACCATGTAAAAAAGCATTATTTACATCTAATTGATGTAAGTACCAGTTTTTAGAACTGGCAATAGCTAAAAGAATTCTTACAGTGGTTAACTTTACAACTGGAGAGAAAGTATCAAAGTAATCAAGGCCTTCTTCTTGAGTGTAACCTTTTGCTACCAGTCTAGCTTTATATCTATCAAGAGAACCATCAGATTTAAGTTTTGTTTTAAAAACCCATTTACAACCAATAGTATGTTGATTAGCAGGAAGATCAACAAGAACCCAAGTATTATTATTTTCAAGGGCTTTAATTTCATCATTCATAGCATTTTTCCATTCTGTAAATTTTACAGCTTGTTTGTAAGATTTTGGTTCTTGAATCTTAGAAAGAGATGCAATAAAACAGTGATGAGAAATATTTAATTTGTTATAAGTAATGTAATTATGAATAGGATATCTAACCAAGTTACAAGAAGAATTAGGATTACCTGGAATGATAGAATTAGGAAGATCATAAGCAAAATCTCTTAAATGAATAGGAATGGATCTTACTCTAGTAGATTTCCTTTGAGTATTTTGTTCAGACATACTGTCATGAACCTGAGAACTTTCTATGTTCAGCAAACTAGAAGAATCATTAGCAATAGAGTTATTATTATCAGAATTAAACAAATTTACCTCCTCATTGATTTGAGTGTCCAAGTAATTTGTGATATTATTATTAGAATCATTTGCATTTTGAGTAAGAGAATTTGTAAGATTGTTTAAATATTCATTAAAAATATTATTTTGTGTGTTTGTGAAATCAGAATCCAATTTATTTTTAGTATGTTGAGTCTTGTATGGAAAAATCATTTCATAGAACTTAACATTTCTAGAAATAAAAGTTTTATGAGTAGTTAAATCATATAATTTGTATCCTTTAGAACCTAAAGAATATCCAATGAAGATGCATTTATGTGCCCTTGAATCAAACTTAGTTCTATAAGAAGAAATTGTCACGCCCCGGACCTACCCGGACACGTCAACAACCCGCCGTACAGTACGAATAGTCAACCACAGTCCGACTCATCCATACTATACAAGGCGTCTTGAATACCATTCACACATAGTACATCCATAAACAAACATAATGTAAAACATTTATTAAAGTCAACGGAAACAATTGATACAAGTGTTCAAGCCACACTTGGCATAATTAGGCATGCAAGCCCCCAAAGTAATTATTCAGAAAATATTATCCATGAGCATTATTCATATTATTTTCAAAACAAGAACGGGAGAAGCACGAACCAAGTCTTCTCCTCAGAAACTTCCCGAAGCAGCGGCTGGTAGTAGCAACCTTCAAGTTCTACCTGAAACTGTGAGGTGGCCTCCCCCGTGAAGGGGAGGTCAGTACTTGGAAGCATTTGACAAGTACAATGACAACTATACTAAGTATAATCAAAGTTTAAATCTCTGAGGCCCTCAATCTAGAGCATTATTACATTATAGTTAATCCGTTCATTTAGTATCAATTCATCATTATTTACCACGGTCTAGAGCCCAGCTCATAATCACCGTTATCTACTACGGTCTAGAGCCCCGCTCATAATCACCGTCATCTACTACGGTCTAGAGCCCAGCTCATAATCACCGTCATCTACTACGGTCTAGAGCCCAGCTCATAATCACCGTCATCTACTACGGTCTAGAGCCCAGCTCATAATCACCGTCATCTACATCGGTCTTGAGCTCGGCTCATAATCACCGATTCCTTATAATTCAAATTCTTAGGATCTAATTCATCCATTTCTCAACTAACATTTCCAACTAATATTTCAATGCTAGTTATTTATTTATTTCAATATAATTCCTTCTTCTTGCATAATTGGCCTTAATATCAAGTATCACTTTCATACCTTCATGGCTTCTCCTCATGGCATCAAAGTATACTATCCCAAATGATATTCATGGTTGGTACAACCATCATACACACATATTCATAACATCTAAACATACACAATTTATTCATAAATTTGTGTATTATGCATACTATACTTTTAATCAATAGTAGTTCTATTTAGGCATTATTAACCATTAACAACTCATGCACATCACATTTGCATTCTCTTAGGAAATCCCATGAAATTAACCCAAAGATTATAGGTAACATAGTCGGTCATCCTCACCTTAATTAAGCTTAAGCGCGTTCTACGTTTCTCGATTGAACTTTGACCAACTCCGGCGAACTTTGACCAACTCCGGCGAACTTGGGCCAATTCCGACGAAACTCCGGCGAAGCTCAAAAATACTTTAAATCAAGCTCCTTAATTTTCACACTTTTTCCTAGCTTTTTTCCTTCTTAAACTTTCTTCTTGGACTCCCTTGAGCTTGAGTTCGGATTTGGGGCTATGGAGATGAAGTTGTAGAGGTTCTTTCCTCCTTTCCCTTGCTTCTGGCCGAACTAGTGAGGAGGGGGATGGGTAGGAATGCCCCTTTGTCTCCTTTTGGGCAATGAGTGAAAGGGAGGAGGGCCACCATGATTTGTTTTGATGCCAAACATCTCAAATCATCTCTCTCCCACCTCAACTCTCCTACCAGCCTGCTCAGGCCCTGAATAATGAGGCTAAAATCGTGGGTTGGCCCCCACCCATGTGGGAGGTCAACCCTTTTTGTCCAGAAGTGTACAATCGGTCCCGAAAGTTGTATTTTTCCGGACTGTTTAAGTATATTTTATTTTATCGGGTCAAATAAAATATAACACTTGTTCCCAATTCTTAATGGACCTTAGAATCAATATGCATCCCTCAATTTTTAGTTTAGAAGTCTCTGAAATCCCTTTTTTCGGGCTGTTATCTAATAGATTGCCGATACTGATAATTTGGACCCGTTTGACCAACTGGTCAACCCTATGCCATTGTCATGGCTCAACTAGGATATCCACCACCATATACATATTATCTAGTCCAAGATCAATATAATATGTGGCCCCGATAATATCGGGCGGTCCCCACTCCCGATGTGGGCCCCACGTGCATTTTACTATTCACGCGAAAAAATTAATACAAATTCACAACTTCGTAAATTCACCAAAAATTTCATAGGGTTCAATAAATTATTAGCTTAAAGATAAATACATTTGGGGACGGTGTTACAGAAATAGTTGAAGCAAAAGCCAAACAACCAAAAACCTTTAAATGATTATAATCTGGAACATGATTATAAAGCATTTCAAAAGGAGATTTGTTAAGATTCCATTTTAAAATGAAGACTTCTTATAATGAGAACTTATTTTTAATACTTATTTAGATGCAGTTTATATTTATATATCATGTTTTCTTTTGGACTGAAATATGTTGGTCTGTTTTGATATGGTCTAGTCTATTTAAGTCAAGTCTAGTCTGATAAATGTAGTCTTTGTGTATTTTATAATTGTTCAAATTTTGTCTTGCTCTCGTTAGTTTAGGAGATGAGCACTATTGTACGGTATTTATTAATTGTTTAACTAGATCTATGATCTAGCAAGTCAAAGTCAAAGCCAGTATATATAGTCGACAGAATTTGGTTTTAAATTATCAACGTAAATTTACTACAAAAATTATAAGGTTCTCTTTTACTCCCTCCTTAATATTCATATTTTCCCGCTTTCATATTCAAAAATGATAATGACATGATAAAATCTGTGACAAAGAAACTTTGTCACGGATTTTTTGAACTGCTGGCCATGACAAAGTCCGTGACAAGCCTCCTCGTTTTTTGTAGAATTCCTTTTCAATCATAACATGCATATCTTTTTATTTCTAAATATTTTCATCATACCTTCAACAATTGTGAAAAAATATATACTATTACAACTATTTTTTGAATTTATCCTTCATTTCAGAACATTATTTCATTAATTTTCCATCATACACTCATTAATTTCGATCCCCTTCTACTATTCATAATCTCACGTACTTTTAAATAACAAGATATATATGAATGGTATGGAGGTAGTATTAATTGTTTATTCAAACTTCACTCATACTATTCAAAGTTTATAGAGTTCAATATTTATTCTTTCTATTTTTCTATCCTTCACAAGGATTGACTTGAGTGAACTTGTACAGAAGGACACCAGTTGTTTAGGCCATCTCCAACAAGCATCAAACTTGACACCAAAATGGTGTATTTGGCAAAAAAATGCTCCAACAATAGCACCAAACTTGACACCATTACACCAAAATAGGGGAGGGGGAATGGTTTCCGCCATATATGGCGTGCGCCATTTGTTGCACCATCAACTTTTTGTAATTTTTTTTTCTTTCAAAAGTGACCCAAAGTTTTGGTTATTATAGTTTTGACCCATGTTTAAAACAACAAAATAGGAAGTTTTACTTGGACTGAAATTTGTTGGTCCGGTCTAATTTGGTCTGGTCTGATCTGAATTGATGTAGCCTGGTCTGATTTCTTTGTATTTTTATAACTACCCAAGTTTGGTCTAATCCGGTCTGATCTGATCTGAAACAAATTATAGTCCAAGTAAAAACAACCTTATACAACAACAATCAAAACAATTAATTTGATAAAAAAATATTATAACATTTAAATCACACAATATTATAAATAAAGTTTATAAAAAATACAACAACATCCTTATACAACAACAATCTGAAATATTGACTATTGTATTTTAATTAATGAAATGCGTGAAAATACATACAAGTATTAAAATGGTGTATTTTAGTTTGTATGTGTGAAATAATATGTGAAATGTCAAAATATTAAATGAGGGGCTAATGTATAAATATATGATAATTAGATACTTAAATAGAAGAATGGTAAAAAGTTAGTAAAAAGAATAAAAAGAGAATATTCCTTTTTAGTGATGAAAATGATGTAAACTGTTGGAGATAAAATACTGTATGATGTGATGTTTACACCATTTTTGTGTAGAAAATGGTGTAAACTGTTGGAGATGACCTTAGAAGATACTCCCCTGGCCTATTTCATAATATTACTCGCTCACTTTTCTTTTTTATGGATTCTAAATTTTGATCTCATTTTCAACTTGATCTAATAAAGTATCTCTACAAAGGTACTTATAGAGTAACACAAAAAATTCTTACTAAATTAACACATAGAACGAGCATACAAACATCTTTAAAAAAGGAATTTTATTAATTCAGGACCCGAAAGATAGATGAATTATCAATTCGGGATCTGAAAGATGAGATCTCTCGATATAGGACCTGAATGATGAAAAACTATCAATCTCTAGCACCTAAAATTTCATAGGTTTTGATTTATTTAATTTTTTATTAATTCCATTGCTAAATTTTGATAAACTTTTCTTCACAAAAGTTTATTAGTTTCATAAAACTAAATAATTTCGGACAATTTAGGTCCTAAATGGATAATTTCGAATTATTCGAGTCCTAAATTGATAGTTTTCCATCATTCAGGTCCTATATCGATACATTTCATGCTTCAGGTCCCGGATTGATAATTCATCAATCTTTCGGGTCCTGAATTTATAAAATTCCTTAAAAAAATATTATTCGGACGAGCACAATCACATAGGACACTTACATATGATAATTTACTTTAAAAAATATTTAACCATTTAGAGCATTGAAATACATTGTGAGTATAACACCAATATATATAATGTCCTCACTGTGGTATGTAGATTTCATAATTTCCCATTAACTAAAGAATGATTCACATGAAACACGTTCAATATGTTGTATTTATAAAACATATACTCCGTACTATACTAGTATTAAGTCTTTGTTATGAATATAAAAAGGAGTAAATTCTTACTATTGCAGAATATTTAAAGTGATCTCTCTGTCTGCCATTTTCCTATATAAAAAGGACTTCAGTGATAGATCATTATTACAATCTCAAACCAGCCATGGCAACCTCACATGAATCACTCCTCAATTCTCCCACTGGAAAAACAAAGAGAACTTCTTTCAAAGCTCTCTACATCTTTCTCTGCTTAGCAGCTATAGCAGGCTCGGTTGCTTTGGTTTCATTCTGGGCCGTTCATAGACAGTCCCCTTCTTCTCCTTCTTCATTGAAAGCCCAAGTCTGTGATAAGGCCCATGATCGATCATCCTGCTTGTCTGTTGTGTCCGAGGTGGCATCCACCGACACAACCGCCGCACGTATGCTACAGTCCGTTTTATACTCATCTTCACGGCGAGTCCGTGACGCCGTCGAGCTGTCCACGAATGTCAACCGTCGGGTCAACGACCGGAAGGTCCAAGCGGCTCTGGAGGACTGCATAGAGTTGTTGGACTTGTCTTCGGACAGGCTAATGGACTCAATGGTGGCCCTGGGGAACCTCTCGACGGCACAAGCCCATTCCGATGCCCACACTTGGCTAAGCAGCGTCTTAACGAATCACTACACTTGCTTAGACGGGCTTCAGGAACCAGCCCGGGCCATAATGGAGCCCGTTCTGAAAGACTTGATGGCCCGGGCAAGCTCAGCGTTGGCCGCTTTGGTTGCGGTGGCGCCGTCAAAGGTGGACGATCTCCGGCCTCTCGGTGGCGAGTACCCGACGTGGGTCAGCCCGAGAGATAGGAGGCTTCTGGAAGCCTCGGCGGGGAACGTGAATGCCAATGTGGTGGTGGCGGCGGACGGGAGTGGGAATTACAAGACGGTAGCGGAAGCGGTTGCGGCGGCGCCGGATAATAGCAAAACGCGGTATGTGATATACGTGAAGAAGGGGACGTACAAAGAGAATGTGGAGATCGGGAAGAAGAAGATAAATGTGATGCTGGTCGGGGATGGGATGGACGCTACGATCATCACGGGCAGCTTGAACGTTATTGATGGATCGACAACCTTCAGATCTGCTACAGTTGGTAAAACATGCTTTTCCAATCTTATTAACTTTTTGCTTTCCTATTTTCGAATCTCATTATTAAAATGTTAGTACGTAGTGTTTGGTTACCTACTTGGTCCTTTTGACTTTTATCATCATTTATTTATGCACGTACTATCATACTCTCTCTCGTTTCTCTCTTGTTTCAAAAAATCTTAACACTTTGACTTCACAGTTTTTAAGGAAATAAATTTGATTTTACTGTAGAGTACACTGTTTGGTATTGTTTGACACTATTTGGTATTGTTTTGTATAGATTTATTTGCCAAATAAGGCAATAAGAAAGTGTAAAGATAATTGTGGTACTGCTAAAAATGGAAAATATAAAGATCTTTCAGAACCGAAGGGAGTATTCTTTGAGTCCTGAATTATCTTCCAAACAAGGTTTTGCACCTTTAAAAATTTGAAAGTAATGTACCGAGTAATAAAGAATTGTGTAGAGAAGAGATAAATGCTATAATAACAATTTTTTATCAAAAAATTGAAAGATGTGATTATTCTAGAAGGGACAAAATAGAAAAACTGAAGGATAATATTGAGACCTATAGGAAGCATTTTTCTGCACGTACTATTATGTATTATTACTACGTAATAAATATACACATGAGTAAGAGTATTATTTTATAATTCACCAAATAAAAGTAATTATAGTAGTGTTTGAAAAATAGTTTTATTTCAAAGTTGAAACAATGTTCTTAGCTTTAATTATAGCTTCATTTGCGGAGGGCCTAGCTTGCCCGGTGAGAAGAAGGTGCTACAAGAGAGAAGTTTTGGATTCAACTAACTCCAAACAAAGATTTGTGGGAAGAACGCCTGAATGCCTCCCCTCATGAGTCAATACCATGTAGCTTTAGTCTTAGGGGATATTCATTCAAAGTTTAAGATCAAGTCTGAATCATGTGTTTTTATTTAATGTTATAGTTGACCCACAGAGTGATTAAAGATCGATCAGAATCTCATACAACATTAAAGCTTAGAACTTTACACTTGGAATATCGAGTCTTAGTTCTAAAAGAGTTTGAGATCGACTACTTTGAATCGGCATATAAAATCGGAGCTAAAAAAAGATAAGAAAAATAAAAACGATTAAAATATAATTAAGATAAATAGAAGGATAATAAAGAGATAAAATGATAACATAAGGATAAAGTTAATAAAGAAAAATAACAAAACCAAGATAAAACAAGAAAAAAGGGAGGTGGAGAGAAAAGAAGATCTAAAGGGAGGGTGAAAAATAATCATAATATTATTTAATCGGTGACATGACATTTTTTAGAGAATTATCAGTGAGTTGACATATATTATTTAATGTGATTATTTAATACAATAATCTAGGATAAAAATATGAATCCTGATTGTTTTAAGACTACTTGTATAATATACGAAGTATGTAATAGAGGTTAATGTAGGACAGAGAAAAAGGAGATTATTTGAAGATGATGAGTGAGAGACATAAATGAATTTTGAGATTACTTTAAAATTAATCACAAAACTATATTTAAATATTAAGAACCATAACAAAAAATTATTATCATATATCATGAATGGAGATATCATGAATGGAGATGCATGAATGGAGATGCATGAATGGAGTTAACTCAGAATATAAAGCATGTAGTTCTACTTTTGAGTTTTGGTAATAATTTACTCCTATTTGGATCAATATCTTCTATTTTTTTAAACTTGCAATTAGAACTTAATTTAATGACATAATAATACTATATTCACTAACTTTTAATTATAGCATCCGGATGAGATCTAATCCTTGTAATTACGAGTATTATCTTGGTCGTGTTTATCGTACGGAAAAGGCGTTTTTATATAAATATATAATATATTTCCTTTAAAATGGGTTGATACTTGATAGACCACCAATACAATTCCTTCCTTTCTAGAGAACAAACCATCTGAAAATATTTTGGTAGATTCTATGGTACCCATAAGGTACCATACCTTTGTCCACATGGACCAATTAAAATGTAGCAGTTGAGTTATTTAAATCTAAATTAAAAATGATAAAGTGATATGGTCCAATTAAATGAAGGATAGGTACGGTACCCTATTTTTTAGAAAGGTACGGGAGTTGTCGCCAAATATTTTACTCTAAATTTTGTTTTGGCTGTGAGTTTCCACTATATTGCTTTAGGCAATGCAGTGCCTCACATGTCATAGTTTTTCTCCTTTCTCAATCAACACCAATAGATTCTACCACATATCGCAAACCGACATTTTGAAATTGTGAGTGTACACTTAAAAGTGGGGTGCAAGAAGAGAAAGCTGGTATGTCATTTTCTCCCTCCCGCACGCGCATTAAATACTACCCCGTCCCTTAAAATTTCGACAAAGTTGACCGGCATGGAGAATAATAAAGTAAAAATTGTGTGGTTGTGGTTTGTGCAGAGGAGAGGGAAATAACAGAAACAAAAAAATAATTGATTATAAAGGTAATTGGTAAAGTTTTTTGGAACGTCCCAAAAAGGAAAGATGACAAAGTTTTAAAGGACGGATGGAGTATAATAAAAGTGTTCTGAATTTGCAAGTAATTTTAGAAAAAGATAAACCTGTTTTATCGGATCATAGATCAGACTAAATCAGATCACACCAGACATGAATTTCATAGTTATAAAATACACAAAGACTAGACGTTTACCACACCAGACCAGATCAGTTCAGACCAAACCAGATCAGACTTAAATAGACCAAAACAGACCAGCAAATTTCAGTCCAAGTAAAAGTCTCCATTCAATCTCTCTGCTAGTACCATTGGTCTATATTTCCTTTTCGATCAATCTAATAGAATTCTCATACTAAATTTTTAAGGATTGTATGATTCTAAGTCATTTTTAATTTATTCTTAATTTATGATTTTTAGTTTCACTTTTTCTTACTCCCTCCATCCTGAATAGGTCGACCAAAGTTGACTTTCACGTGGATTAATAAAGTAAAAACTGTGATTGAAATTTATGCAGAGAAGAGAGAATTAATTTTAGTCACATGTTCCTTACTTTAAATGAAAATGACAAATCTTTTTAGCCAATCTTTTCAGAGGGAGTAATAAAATTATCTCCTCGTACCCCGATATTACGAGACGAAGGTAGTATTCCCTAAGTCTAACTATAAAATTAATTCAAACTGGATAAGAGTAGACTTATACCATAATAAAAATATAAAATACACATTATAGTAGACATATACCAGATTAAATGAATAGTTCAGATCAAAGCTAAACAAATCATACATGATTAGACTTATTTGGCCTTGATCAGACCTGATAAAACCCTAAAAAAATCGGTCAAAGTGAAAACAATCAATATTTTCTAACTTTTTTATATTTCATTATCCTAAAATATTGTGATAATATTATTTGTCTTTAGCGAACTCCCATTACACAATTTTTTCTCAGAAACTAATACAGCCAGATTTGAAATTAAGAACAAAGGGATTACGTAGTTTTTATTGTTTACACTCTGAAAGTGATCGTAATGTGGACGATAAAGGATGGGTGGAAAGTGTAATTTGATACACACCCTCAAAGTAAAGCTGATTATTTTGTATGATTTGCATATATTTCTTACTAATTAGTCTCTAATTTGAAATTCAGCTGCCGTTGGGGATGGGTTCATAGCCCAAGACCTGTGCTTCAAAAACACGGCCGGCCCGGAGAAGCACCAAGCGGTGGCGCTACGTGTCGGAGCAGATAAATCAGTCATCAACCGCTGCAAAATCGACGCCTTCCAAGATACTCTCTACGCCCACAGCCTCCGTCAGTTCTACAGGGATTGCTACATCACCGGCACCGTTGACTTCATCTTCGGCGACGCTGCCGTCGTGATCCAAAACTCAAAAATCATCGCCCGAAAGCCCAGTGCCAATCAACAAAACATGGTGACGGCCCAAGGAAGGACAGACCCAAACCAAAATACCGGGACATCGATCCAAAGTTGCAATGTGATACCTAGCACGGACCTGAAGCCCGTTTTGGGCAGCATAAAAACATACTTGGGCCGGCCCTGGAAGGAGTATTCCAGGACTGTTTACTTGCAGTCCAAGATTGGGAACCACATTGACCCAACTGGTTGGGCCCCTTGGAGTGGCGACTTTGCACTGAACACGTTGTACTACGGCGAGTATAAGAACTCTGGGCCAGGATCAGACACTAGCAAAAGGGTGAAATGGGCTGGATACCACATCATCACCGACGCGTCGGAGGCCCGAAAGTTCACGGTGGAGCAGCTCATCCAAGGCAGTTCGTGGTTGCAGGATACCGGCGTGACCTATACGGAGGGTCTGTAGAGAGTGAAAAATTTCAGTCCGCTATTTAAAATAAAGAATTTGAAGTAGTGCCGACCACCGAGTATAAATAAAGTTGAGTAATTTGGTATTTGAATTCCAATTTATTCCACATATTGGATGATATATCCTACGTTATAAATCCGTTGTAATGCACTTGATTTCAGCTATTAATGCTTAATTCACTTGTGCATTTGTTGTTTGCAATGACCAAATCCTTCATTGAGTGGTGTATAAGCAACAACGTGATTAGGCACTTACTTAATTAAACGCTAAAGTTTATCCACCTTCAATGCATATCCTTATACTATCCGCGCGTATTCACTATGTTAATCCAATTTTTCCGTGCAATCCAGCACCGTTAATACATCCATCCATCATTTTTGTTAAAAAAATTATATGGCCAATATTGGTGTCATACGAAAGATAATAAAAATATGAACTTTAATATATTTTGTTTTGGTAAAAATAGGAATTCAAATAAAAAAGTTATGGGAATAATAAAGATTTTTTTAACATGGGACCCATCTATTTTTTTATTGTCGCACCCCTTTCCCCTACTTTTTGCTTTTTCTTCTTTCATTTCTCATTTGGGAGTGAAAGGTGGATTTGTTATTCCCCACCCCTAAGTTCTGGCTATCCACTTTCCCCTTTTCCAATATCATGGTTGTATGTGAAGTTGGGGTTAAAACGTTAACTTTATTCTTTTCACCTCAAGGTTGCAACCAATATTAGAGTGTTGGTGATTTTAGTATCACCAGGTTCATTTTAGTGTAATGGAATTTACAGATTACCAATGGAGTTCAAGTTTAATTTTAGACAAGTTAGGAGGTGCGGAGCGCACACTTGTACGAAATTAAATTTAAACTTGGTTCGATTAAATGGCGGGGGTCAAGGGGGCTGCGCCCCCTTGCAGGGTCCAAGGGGCAGCGCCCCTGGCGGGGTCCAAGGGGCAGCGCCCTTGGCGGGGGTCTCGCTGTAAAAGTTTTACCAAAATTTTATTTATTAAAGAAATAAATATGGAAATTTATTTTCGGATAAACATGTCCATATTAATTATTTAATAGAATGACTTTCTGTTAGAGTAAAACTCTAACCGATTGACCTTATCTCTTTGGTAATCAGAAGAATTCGAGTTCTACTAAAACTGCTAGTTCGTGGTCTATATATTAGTGCCTCAGTTTTAGACTGTCTCTTAGAGTGATTATCCCCATAATCTAAATTTCGTGTAACCCAGGCATAGGGTCGAAATATTAGATTCGGAAAGTGATGACACGATACTCTGAGAAATCCGCCAGATTTTCTAAAACAGTTTCCCAACTCCCCAGCTCTAACATAGAGTGCATATAAGATTTCAATACAATCGGGGCAAAATAGCTCCCTTCAACTTGGTTTTGAAGAGAACAAAATATCTATATTTAGTTTGAATTTCCCTGTATTTGAGGACCGCCATTTTAGAATTTATATCCGAATCATTGCGGTTAATTCGAGGACTTATTTGCACATTTCCCCCCCAAAAAAATATCAAACTACTAAAAAACGATTATAATATTTCATATGACACTAATATCACATATGTAAAATTTTGTTTTTTTTTAAATTTTGGTATGACCTAATTTATCTTGAGATGGTTAACGTCTAGTGAGTGTATATTTTACTACTACGTATTATCTAAATTTGATCTAATTTGACCTAATCTATTAAAATCTAAACTAATGGAGTATGTTCTACTTTATTTATTTTTTGTCTAGCCTTTTTCCAAAATCAGTCCAATTAAAAAATATTCTAACCGTCTTTCACATTTTATAGAAATGAATATATGAGTTTAATCAGAAATTAACATAGTGTTGATCGAGTTTGAAATGATTGGCCCCTCCACCATTAGAATAAATCAAAGAAAAATAAAAGTTGAAAACAACTAGTGTACTAGTACGTACTATATTAAAGACATACTTAATCAAATAAATAACCAATCTGGAAAGTCACACAAAATATAAAAAACAATAGTGTTTTGAACTTCAAATATATCTACCAATAAAATTCTCACGACTTTTGCTATAACGTTTAAATTGTTCAATTCGATGAAGAAGTATAAACTAATTTGTAGTTTATAGGGAAAAGTAAATATATTCAATATTATGTGACATATATATCTTGGATGTGAAACATTGAAGAATATTACTTATAACATAATATTTATATTATTCAGTTATTGTGTTTCATGATAATTAGACCTTTTTAAAATATTATTTTTACAGCATTTATAATGTATATAATACAAATGTAATTATTTATAACAATGGTTTAATGGTAAGTAGGATTTGTAGTCATAATCTTAATCATATACAAAGAAAATAATGTAGATAAAAATTAGTTAATAAATAAATTCGGTGCTCACTAAAAAGGGGGAAAAATCTGTCAAGTCAGCAGTCAAGGGAGTATCGAACAGTTTTGGTGGGTTGCTTTGATAAACAAACAAGCATGCGGAGCAAAAAAATTGAGTCATCGAGTAGATTCAACCCTAGGACCTTCGGATTACAGGAACACTATGTGGGAACTTTCTACGGTTCTACCACTACCCTAAGCCGCTCCATTGGTATCATTTTAGTATTTGGTATATCTATACATTAATGAGTCAGTTTTGAATAAAATATATATAGTATATATAGGTATTTTTTTGGAATGACACGGGGTCCGGGACCCGTGGGACCCTTAGTGGGTCCGCCACTGGTAGCATTCATGCATGTGCAATGTAAAGTACCACACAGAACATGCAATCACATGCAACGTTCTTTCCTCTCACCTAGGACTAGTACTCCCTGTAAAGCATATATACATGCACGTATTTCTCTAATAAATTAAGAGAGATTCAAATAATATTTCTCCAGAATACTTTCACTTTCTTCCATTTCCAATTAATATACATCTCCATATTTATCAATTATTGCTAGTTTTATCAGGTACTGCCAAACATGTCAATAATTAATTCTATTTTGAGAATAAAAATATGGCAGTCCGATTTTGGAATTTGCAAATTTTTTTAGTCCTATTTCAGGTAATATTATCTAAGTTTTAAGATCATGTCATTGAATTTTAATACGTTATTATATTGATTAAATTATACTACGTATTATAATAACAATAAAGTATGAGTTTTAGTACTCCGTGCATTTTTAATTGAATTTGTGTGACAAATATTTATTCCTCCAAAAGTTGTAGAAGTAATCATATATTCCAATTTCATAATCCGAAATTCATAAGTTGTGCGTGGCTGAAAGAAAGACGGCCTCTGATATATGATGAAGTGTCGATGTATTAGTGGATAGTTTGACAAGTTCCACATCACTCTCCATACCCGACCCAAGTAAGTCTTCCGTTCGTCGAACCCGATGACCCGGACGAAAGTCTTTCGTCTTCCCTTCCACGCCCGATAAGTCCATTTTCTCCTGCAAATCTTCGACTGCAAACCCTAATAGAGCGAGACAATGGCGATCGCTTCAACTGGGAAGCCTCTTCTCCTCATCGTCCTACTACTCCACATTTTATCCGCCAACTTTTCTCTGTCACAAGACGATGTCGTATCCGAGTTGACCTACCTCCGGTCGCAGTCCCCCACCGGCGTAATTCGCCTCACCGACTCACTCCTCCGACGCATCGTCTCTGTCTCGACTCCTCGCCCCTTTTCAGCACTCATTTTCTTCGACGCCCTGCAGCTCCACTCCAAAAAGGAACTCTCATTACCCGCCTTGAAAAATGAGTTCTCTCTACTGGCATCCTCTTTCCTCACCAACAACCCTGATTCGAACGTTAACGGAAAGCTCTTCTTTTTCGTCATCGAATTTCAGGAATCTCAACAGTCGTTCGCGCAATTCGGCGTCAATTCCTTGCCCCATATTCGTATCGTTCCAGCTTCAGCTACTGATCTGAAGCAGGATTCGATTCAAATGGATGCGTCGGATTTTTCGCGAATGGCAGAGTCCATGGCTGAGTTCGTTGAGTCGAAAACCAATCTTGAGATCGGACCGATCCATCGCCCTCCGATTGTGTCTAAGATGCAGGTCACGTTTGCTGTGGCCCTTGTACTCATATCTAGTCCGTTCATTATAAAAAAGTTCCTTTCCGGCAATACTATCTTTCAAGATAAGTATGTTTGGATGGCCGGTGCTATCTTCGTCTACTTCTTCAGTGTTGGAGGGGCAATGCATAATATAATTAGGAAAATGCCAATGTTTATGGCTGACAGGAATGATCCTTCAAAGCTGGTTTTCTTTTATCAAGGGTCTGGAATGCAATTAGGAGCTGAAGGGCTCGCTGTAGGTTTCTTGTATACCATTGTGGGATTGTTGTTGGCCTTAAGTACTCATATGCTAGTTTGGGTGAAGAACAGGACTACACAGAGGGTGATCATGGCTGTTTCACTCTTTGTTTCATTCTGGGCAGTTCAAAAGGTGATTTCTTTAGATAATTGGAAGACTGGCTATGGTATACACGCTTACTTTCCGTCCCGTTGGATGTGATCTTTTGTTGTCCCTTCAGGTTATCCTTACCCGTAGGTATGGATTCTATTTTAAGCTTACACTCTGTCAGGGGCTATACAGACTAATGATTCTAGTTTTCACATATTGTATTAAAGCACTTATGTGCTGATTGTACTTTTGAATTTGGATGATGTATCGCAGTGCTTCTTGTATATGCGAGCTACTTCTTGTTCTATCATCTTAATATTGACTGATCTTACCTCATCCATGTTGTCTTGTGTTTAACTCTTGCGGATTGAACTTCCAAGTTTGTATTTAGATGACAATATATATGTGCATACCATTTGGCTTTTTCTATATACATAGAGTATAGAATAAACCAATTTTACCAAAAGAATCTCTTTCTGGGAATGTATGACATAATGATATCCCTATCTCCTTATAATACAGAAATGGCCTTATGATTCTTCCAAGTCTCTTGCACTTCCTAATTGCTTTCAGAAATTCTAACCAACTTCCTTCCAAAGTGTTTTATTTTATTTTAGTTTAGATTGCGGTTTGGTGCCAATACCTGGAACAAAATCTGATTTGGTATAAATAGACCCCACAGATGCTCAATCTATCTGCTTACTATGTTTTACAAAAATATACTATTGAATGAAAAGAAATAATATAATCTAACACATTTCTTTGCCGCTTGATAACCTTGTAGATAATGTTAAGACTTAAGAGTTAAGACTCATCATCATTATCATTACCACAGTGCCACAAAGACTCCCACACCTTCCGTGGGGAATGTTAAAAAATAGACTTATATAAATATTAATTGAAGACGGATGTCTTGGTGTCTTACAAGGCTTTGGTTTTGATAGCTAATCATAAGCATTCATGCTTTAAGTGATATTTGACCAATATGCATATTTATCAATTGAATGATCCCGAGTCAATTAGAATACCTATTACCTAGATGACACACTGACATAAACAAATTAATATCTAAGTATACTTTTAACTTTTTTATAACTATTATATATGAAGTAATACCATGTGCCATTGCTGTTCTCTCTTTTCAAGGATCCTACTTGAAGCGTAGTGTTTACAAATAAGAAACTCTTGAACCCCTTTCAGGGATTTTTTTTTGTATATGTAATTAACGATCTAAGTAGTTATTATATGGAATTATATGCCACAAAATGAGTTAGATCTGTTTATTTCAATGGCCCTGTTCTGTATTACAGTTCTTGCGGTTTCCAGGTCTACTTAGACATTTAGAACCCATGAAGATATAGGAAAACAATCATGAACAAGAAAGAGTGTCACTCCATAACTTTCCCTGCCTCTTAAATGCGGTCTGCCCTTGTAATCAAATCCAATTCATACCCACGCTTTCCATTTACTAGACTCAGTTCCTGGATAGCTTATCCGCGGTTTCATCTTCACCATTTTTGTTGAGGATGATCACTACCCTTCCTATCTGAGAGTTGAGTAGAGGGCTGGGGGTGCTAAAATTTATACCCCGTATTTTTTGTTTACTTTTTTACGAACATTTCATCAGACTGTTCACCAATAGATTCAACAGACGTTTTTTATGAGGATATATATAAGTAGAATCTTGATGTGTATTTTGTTTTTTTTTCATTATAAATAAACTAGTTAATAATTTGAGAATTGGATTTTTCTATTACTCTAAAATGAATATCAAGGTTCTTAAACCTGTAGGCATAATAGATCCCAGTCGATTAGTGTTTCCTGAATCCCGAGTCCAATACATAAGCCCACCTCATGCCCCATTGTCAAAGCCTATAAATAAAATGCAGAGTCATGCCACTTGCTTTGATGGTTTGGTGTCGAATGAAGATGATGTTTCTGCTAGGATCCAATATATTACATATGAGATCCTTTATAGTCTCTATCCGTATGAATTTGTAAATCTTTAGATGGCTTTTGCTTGTCCTTCACTTTGTCTTGGTGTTTGAACTGTTTTTGTGTTGGCTGATGTTTTCCGCCCTTTTGTTGCTTCACCAATGTTGTTTCTGTTGGTGGTTGCATTAGTTTTTGGCAGGCTCGTTCTTGTGATGGGGAAGGTTATCCTTGTTGGATAACCTAAAATTTTGTTTCCCTTTCTTTGCTTGTAAATCCTTGAACCCCCCTTTTCTCTTGGGTGTCTATTTAATATACTTACATTTCACCCAAAAAAAAAAATGCAGTCATGCATCGTCTTCTTTTAAGCGTTCATTGCCTCGCGCCTAGGGCTGTTAACTAGCCGAGCCGAGCCCGAACACCCAAAGCTCGAGTTCGGCTCAATAAGAAATTAGTGGTGTTCGGGTTTGAGCTCGAAGCTTGGCGAGCTTTACAAATGAGGCTCGTGTTCGGATCGATAGACGTTCAATGTTCGATCCAAGCACTCGATAAGCTTGATAAATATGCTCGAATTTAAAATTTTAGGTGATGCTCGTTAATAGGCTCGTGCTCGAATGGTTCGACAAGTATTCGATTCTTTAATAATCATATTTGAATTCATAAAATAATACTAATTATATTTAAATTTTTAATTATATTTATAATTTTAGGGTGTTCGATAGGCTCGAGTTCGAACCGAGCCGAATACTACTATGTTCGAGCTCGGCTCGATTAATTTTTCGAACTTAAAATTCAGCTCGGGTTCGTGTTTGAAAGCTCGTTAAGCTCGGCTCGTTAGGTTCGAAACCAAACTCGAACTCGAATAGTTCGATAAAAGCTCGGTTCATTGACAGCCCTACTCGCGCCTCATAATGTGGACTCTATCAACAGTATCTTCTTGTATGATTTCAGTGGGTAAGTAACCAAACTAGTTGTGAATCATCCTAGGACTCCATGCAAGGTTACTACTTTGTGATGTCATCTGCTCCATAGGCTTTGATTGTCAACAACCTTCAGGAATCCAAAGTTTGAAGGAGCTCATCTTGTTCTTGTTTTCTAGTTTACATCTAAATGTGTTAGAAAACGATTGGCCAACTCCTGTTAAGGGTCCATGATTTCGTCCAGTTGTTCCCTACTTTTTAATGTAAGTAGGGAATGTTTTTTTTTCATTTTTGTTCTTAGTAACAGAAAAGAAATAAAAGGAATTACAATTAAGAGATTATTACTTGAACAACACAAAACTTCAATTGGAAGCAAGTTGGGGCAGAAATCTGCAATTAATTGTTGAATGCTTATATGTTAGACATAAGTTGTGTGTTTAGGTGTACCACGGAGTTGCCTTGCACTGAGTGTTATGACAAAACGAGAATAGTTGCAACTGTTATGACAAACTTCATTATTTGTCATCATAATTACTCAACCAGGTGGTACGACTAATAAAATTAAACAATTAATTTTCCCTAAAATTTCTGTTCGGGACAAGGAAAAAAATCTAACAGTGTTGTTAAAAAAGTATTCATTTGGGTATTAAACAAGTAAGTTGTTTATGATCTAGTAATCAAAATATATATCACAAATACAATATATTTTTTAGCACAATATTCTAAATTGAAAAAAATTAACATTTAAATTAAAAGTCAATATAAATCAAACATGATAAGAACAATGAATTATCAAATTTCTAGCTGCAAATTTGTTTAGGTATACTTCTTTGAATGTTTACAAAGATATGAACTCATGATCAACATAACACCATTTAAAGGGACAAACAAGATTAAACTTGTGATGGGTGCTAATCATTGAGACTTTGCTAATCTTATTCGCAATCTTGAAGATGGAAGTGATTGATAACTAAAGTTTGGTTGGTGATTGGGAGGTAAGAAATGAAAGGGAGAAAGGAGAGAATATCCTTTGTGTTGCAGAAGGATTGAAACGGAGTCTACAATGAAAAAGATAGACACACAAAATTAAAAGAATAAAATAACATCTCTCCATAACAGTCTTGGTTTTAGTTCCTTTTTTATCAACAATGTTGATCACAAGGTGGCAACTTTGTAATAATTCTACAATAATAACAAAAAAGACCTCATTGGAATTTTCATTAATTACACAAAGTACCCCATCTACATCCTACCATGGATTGAAAGTTTGTGATTAAAAGTTCTCATTTTAAGATGAGTTCTTACTAGAACCCTTATATATATATATATATATATATATATATATATATATATATATATATATATATATATATATATATATATATATATATATAGGGAGGAGATCACATACAAACACTTCTCCCCATACAAAATGCAAATTAATTGCATTCGTCCGATTTAGGCAAATCAGTGGCCCAAAACAGGTTCCTCACCGTTTTGTTACATGATCTGCGAAGTAGGGAAACGGGAATTAGAAAACCCGTTTAGTAATAATGGATAAAGATGTCATTTCAATTTTTTTAAATGGAACCGCCATAATACGGAAAAGGAAGGAAATCGGTATTGCGCATAATCCCCACTTAGATTCCAACCGCCCATGTATAGCAAATCAAATTAAGGAAAGATCCAGAGGTTGTTTAATGCTCCAACTAGCAAAGTCTGTGAAGCCGAAATATTTGCTTGAGAGCGGCGAAACCTTCAGCGTAGACGAAGAACGTCATTTGTGAAGATCAACGACCGGTGAAATTCCATTTGCGCAAATGGCTTCAGTTCAAGAAGAACATGCTTTGCGACAAGCTGCTTTGGCGTGCGAAGAAGGTATTTCTGTTGTTCAGATTAATATGTTTGCATGGAGGATGTTGTATGTTAGATGCACAAAGAGGAATGTGTGCATGCATTTGTGATGGACTGCATATGTAATGTGTTTTTGGATTATGTTGAAGTTAGTAATGTGTAATTGTTAATTAATAATATGGAATTGAATTTGAGGGAAAAGGGCATTTTGCACCGAGAATGTTTGTTTGTGTGTTCGTGGTGGGTGGGTGTTAATGATTAGATTAAGTATTGGGCAAATAAGTTTACGTTAAGGTGAAGTAGATTAAAGTAATCTTAGTATCAATGTTGTTTTTGGAGTACGTGTTTGTTGAGTGAGTATCCTGATTATACAAAATGGTGTTGCAAAATGGATTAGGTAAAGGTGCAATACAGTAGACTAATCTGAGTATGAATGTTGGTTTTTATGTTCGTGCATGGTGATTGATTTTGATTAGAATAGTTATTGGTGCAAAATAGATTACGTATTGGTGCAATTTAGGTGATTTGGTTTGAAGACTAAGATATGTAGGGTGCAGTTGAGGCAACTTAGAAGTAATCAAGGGTTCAAGTAAATACTTTATTTCTTAATTGCTTAGGGCAAAATAATGTAGCTAAAGGTGCAATTGACTTGTGTTTGAGGAAGTTGTGTGTGTTAGTTAAACTACAGATAAAACAAAATTGTTGGGTGTGGATG